GAAATTGTCGACCAAATTGTTGAGATTCGACAGAGCATGGAGCTTGAGCAAAGGATGGCTCTCATTAAGCATCGCCAAAAGCCCACCCGCCGAGCTCACCAAGGTCGCCATAGCTTCGTGATACGAACACTGGAAAGGAGCTCGGATCTGCGGGATGGGAGGAATCAATCGAAAAATCAAAGTTAGGGTTTTACAAACCCTATTGGGAAGCAGGATTATGGGTGGGGAGAGGGAGTTTGGGGATGAGAAAAAAGGAAGAATGGAGTGAGAATTGGGGGATTCGCTACTGAAATGGTTCGCTTTTTGTATCGGACCTGTCGATCTACCAAAACCTGACTTATCCAACAAGTCAGTTCCTTTTCCTCTCTTTCTCCTTTTTTTTTTTTAATTTAAAACTAAAAAATGTTTGGTTAAAATGTAAATTTAAAAGGTTTGAATTAACTTTTTAGTTTTTGTAGCATGTGTAACAAATTCAAGTCGGGACATACTCATGGCGTGTTTGGAAGTGATTTTGACCTTTATACCTATCAAAATCACTTTTGTGGTGACTAAAATAACTCTCATTCTTATTGATTGATATGTTTGGTAGATTAAAATTTTGATTTTATGAAACTTAAAATTGATTTTGAAGGTATGATTTGAATGTTGATTTTGGAAAATCAATGGTTCTTAAATCGATTTTTCAAAATCAATTATTCTATCATCACTCCCAACCACACTATTAAACCTCTATCTTCGAAAAAATGGGCAAGATATCTTAACAACTTAACTGTGATTAAATTAATTAGTTTATATCATTATCCATATATATATATATATATATATATATATATATATATTTGTATTTATATTTATATTTGTGAGTGTCCGAGTAAGATTAAGTGCACCTCGACTAATTTCACGAAGCAGTCACCTGACCCTACAACATTTAGTACCGTAAAACACATAGGAATTAATTTATAAGGTAGGTGTCCGTCATGGGATGTTGATAAAATATTGACATGATAGACTTATTACGTCGATAATTTTTCAATATTATTATTGTATATGTTCCTTTTATTAAAATAAAAATCACGAATTCAACGATAATTGACACATATGTCTGACTAAGAGATTGTGAATTAAAAGCTCCACCACCACATGTTGTATTATATATATGTGTGTGGGGTTTGAGTTAATTTGGTCTCTATTATTTGGTCCGAACCAAATTTTTAATTTTAACTTAAAATAACTGGATAATGCATGTTTCAAATAATAAAATAGTATATTTATTAATTACTTGGGCGAATAGTAATCGAGGAACTTCATACTCTATATATTTAATTCAATAAATCCCTAGACATATTTGAAATTCTATATAAATAAGTAGATATCTTAACTACTAAGTTATGTTCGTGTTGGTAGACAAAGTACGTGACATGGTAATATTGAAGATCATTTCAAGATACTAATTATGTTTTTTATTCTACCAGTGATCATACATTTGTATATTACCCAATATTGTGTCGGCTTATTTAAACTATTATCACATTTCATATAATTTCAATTGAGTCTATATGATTTGTGAACACGAGCTTAACTCAGCAGTATTGACATCCATCGCCAACCATGAGATTGTAAATTTGAATCCCCTCACCCCTACTTTTGTACTAAAACAACTTGAGTCTATATGATTTTAAAAAGTCTTATTTCAGTCATCGTAGTTTGGTTCAATATCCCAAAACATACATGTTGATATATTTTTTTTAGTTCAAAAAATGTGGGATGAGGAACCAACCCATAAACCTTAAGAATTCCAATAGATATAAATCAGTTTGAAAGTAGCATATTGTGTTTAAATGATATGTGGTGAATCGATATTTCGAATAAACCATGTGTACAAGTAAAATTATGCTTTATATAATAGAATTTGAATTGAGTAAACATTAAAATATAATCATGTTAAATTTTCGAGTAAATACTAATTAGGAGTACGTAAAAAGTGATCCGTTTTCTTATGGTTTGTAGATGAATATGGTAATGTGTACACAATATCCCATTAAGATTTTTTTTAGTACAACATGTGAGGATAGGGGATTAGACTCACAACCTCTGGAGATATATGCTATTAATAACCTGTTGATTATAAATCATGTAATCAGTATTAAAAAAAAACGTAAGACATGATTAAATTTTGACATTATTTTAAAACAAACGAAGTAAATATCATGTATCAAAATAAATTCAAATAAGTTCATCTAACTTGAATTTGTTACACCTCTAAAACACCGTAATTTAGTCTCTTTACTTTTGATGCATAGCCAACATGAATATAGTTAAGGTATCTTATCCCGCTCCGACATTTATCGTAATAATAAAATTTAAAGTGTATAAGTTATAAGAACACATTTATGAGACAAAAACTCAAAATGATGGCCATTTGTTTGTAAGGTCATTTAATGGGCCTCCTAAAGCGGCCCATGTAGAAATCCAAACAGTTTCTCCATGGGCCTACAAGGAGAAATAATACACCCCAAACTAACCCACAATAATTGGTTATTAAAAGATTAAAGAAAGTATTTATTTATCTCCACACTTCACTCCAATTTTTTAATGGATGATATATTTAAATACTTCAAAAAAGTTATTAAAGAAAACAGATATATTAATAGAAAATTTTAACTTTATCCGATGGGTCAACGAACTTTAGAAGGTGTCTAGTAGGTTATTAGATATTAAATTTCATGTCCAATAAACCATTGATCTATTAGAACTCAAAGACCTATTCGACACAAAATAAAAAAGTTCACGAATTCATTAGACACTTTTTACGTTCATGAGTTATCAAGTTTTTTTTAGTATAAAAGTGAGGATGAGAGATTTGAACTCGTTAATTCTCAATCAGAAACATGTGTTAATTACTCATGAGCTAAGCTCATGTTGACATTGTCAAGTATAGTTTTAAAAGTCTATGAACTAGAAAAAAAAATGCCAACGATAGTGACGATAGTATTTCAACAAAAATGGTTCTTTACCACTTTCAAAATTCCTTGTCTATTAGAATCCTTCTTTTATTAGTATAACAACTTAGGAAAACTTACGACTTCAAAAAGATAAGTATATCAATTACTGATTAACTAGGTTTATATTCGCCGCTAAAATCATTCTTGCCGATTCGAACTTCTATAATTAAATATATCTATTACAATCTCTGCTGTCGGCTGTTTGGGAAAAAAAGCACCACTAGCAAGGCTCACCCACCACCGAATTCAATTGAATGCTTACCATTGCTGCCCACTGGCACAATTTACTCCCTCCCCTTTATTTCACTGGCTCACTCCCATTATGTAGCCCACAGCTTCCCATTCCGCTCCTTGCTTCTTCTTCACCATCGTTTCTCTGCCGTCTGTGGCCAAATACCCAAATGGGTGGTGACGGAAAGATCTTCACCTTGGCGGAAGTTTCTCAGCACAACACCCCCAAGGACTGTTGGTTGATCATCAATGGCAAGGTTTTGATTCATACCCATTTCAGAATCAAGCTGTTTTCTTCTTCCTATCTCTTTGTACTGATGTCTGATTGTGCGTTGAGGAATTTGATTGCAATGGAGTTGTTTTTTCTTGCTCTGTTTTCGTCTGCTCTTGAAATCTGACATGCATTTTGGTTTAGACCCATTTTTCTTCTCTGTTGAATGTGTTTTATCCATGGCTAAGTATTAAACTGCTGCATAATGAACTTTGCCACTCATGAACTGTATAGGGCTGGAGAACGAAGGAATTAAGTTGTGGGTTGTAGTGTGAATCGTACTATTCCTTTACTTTTTTTTTAGGAATGCAAAGAGATTTGATGCTTGAAAAATGGGGAGTGATGTTTCATCTTTACTTAGCTTTAGCTGTTTGGTTCCTAGGTTGCAGTTTTAAGTTAATTGAGTGGCTCTCATTTTAGAAATTGTTAAAGATGAAGTTTGGCTCAAATGCTTCAGTCACTTGGAAAAGAATGAGTGGACAAACATGGATTTGTGTAGCTCATGTTTGGTTTGGGGGTTTTTGATATATAAAAGTTAATATATGGTACAAAAGGCAGGTTTTATAAGCATGAGTATGTGTAACCTAAGTTCATATAACCTATAAGATTAACAACTCAAGTAGTCTAAGATAAACAAACTCACATGACAAACCTGGACTTGAAGTGGAGATATATTATTTGTGGATCTTAAAACTGACCACATTTAGCAATTCGACCGGCTAACTGGAGTCTGAAGCACAACTTAACTGATTAAGACATATATTCTCTGCCAAAATGTTAGAGGTTCGAATTGACCTCACACCTCATGTTGAAGTAAAAAAAGAAAATCAAAAAAAATAAACGGGCCAATATTATACTTCTTGAATAACATTATCCAAAAAAAACTAACCACATTTAGCATTTTGAAATTGAATTGCCTTATTTTGTGTGCTTGACTCCTTGTAGGACCAGGACCAGGATTATGAGGCTTCTTTAGATTTGGCTATCCTTTTTGACAAAAATGTCCTAGTGGATTGTAGTATTGGGGACAGGTTGATCAGAGTAATTCCTATATTTTCTATCAATGAACTTAAGAAAATTGTGTTGTATGTTTTACATCTAAAAGCAGTTTGTTTAAGGAAAAAATGAGCTCCAACTCTTATTGCAAGATCTCATTTTATGTTTGTGTGTGTGAATGCTCTCATTTACTGAGGGCACTAGGACTCTAGTGGGGGTTGGACATCCAACACCTTCTTCAAACTTTACCGATCACGAATCAGGCGTCTAAAGAATGGTCAATGTGCGTCGTTCCCACGCTATCCTGTGGGTTAATGTCGGTGACCGAAACACTTATCTATTATGGAGATTTAGTTCATTCTACTGGTGCCATTTGATACCTTCTTTCTTTGCACCCATAAACCAATCTGAAAGCAACGTTCTGAAGCTTCATGACAGTATGTTTAGTCTCAGTTGAATTTTCATTTTCCATTTTCCGATTGAATTTGCATATTTAGTCTTGGCTAAAATACTTTTATTTTTATTTTTTATTTTTTTTTGCACTCCTTAAACCATGATCACGGTCAACTCCTACTAGGATAGAGTAGAAATCAAGGATTTGTATTGATAATTTACAAACCCAAGTATTCGAGGTACTTGGAACGTTCCTCTTGAGTATTCTCCAGCCCAAATCAATTAAACCATTGTTTTCCTTCACATGGTCCCATTCCCTCCATTTATAACAAATTCATTGGCTAATGAATAATATGTCCTTAATAACCCCAGAATAATATCCTACGAATTATCTTGTCAACCAAATGTAGTAGGGTCAGGCGGTTGACCCATGATTAGTCGAGGTGCACGCAAGCTAGTCCGGACGCACGGATATAAAAGAAAAAAAGTATTCCTAACAAGTAATACACTAATCTTTGGGGAGGTTTAGCCCTACCTAGAATAAACTATAGGAGTCATCAAGAGTTTTAAATTGAAATCTCTTTCTTGACCCACAATGCAAAAAAGGAATGCATGTGTGGGGAGAAAGTCAAGGTGTACTAGCCCCTCAACTCAAGCTTGAGACTTATGACCTTTAGCCAACTCAAGTTTCTCCGAGTGTAGAGTGAGAAGAGAACAGGAGGATAAACACATTGAAAGAGCGTGAAGTGAAAATTGAGAACTTCATCAAGCTCAGTGACATGAATGATATCTTCATAGAATAACACTAGAGGATTACACATTTGTCGTACTATGGTCGGTCGGTTGCCCCTAGATGTCAACAACATGCTTTCCATTGCTTTGGAAGTTGGGTTGGTATTATTAGACTGTAGGAATTCATACAGATTTGTATTTATTTGATATTGATTTTTAGCATGTGTATCATTTTGTTCATCTTGTTATCCCAACAGGTTTATAATGTAACCGAGTTCTTGGAGGACCATCCCGGTGGCGACGAGGTCCTATTGTCAGGCACAGGTAATACATGTTCATGTCGTATAGCTTTTGTTCTGAACTCCGCACACAGTGTTTGTGCGTCGTATACACACTGAAATTTTCGTTGTAAAAGGTAAGGATGCAACTGATGATTTTGAAGATGTGGGTCATAGTGATAGTGCAAGAGAAACAATGAACAAATACTATGTTGGGGAGATCGATATCTCAACGATCCCGGAAAAGATGACATACTCAGCTACAAAGCAGCCTCACTACAATCAGGATAAGACGACCGAGTTCATCGTCAAGCTCCTCCAGTTCCTCGTCCCTCTCGCAATCTTGGGTTTGGCAGTCGGTATCCGCTTTTACACCAAATCAACCTGAGGTTCTTCTTGAGATATTAGGTGGTTTGAGTCTTGTTGTCAATTACGAACTGCTGCATTGTGTTTGTAAAACAAATTTCTATTTTTGTTTTCAAGAATGTTGATTGTATGATTGGTAAAAATTAGTGTTATTTTAGTGATGAAAGTTGTGGGATGTGGAAATATCTGATGGTGTTGAGATTAACTATCAACTTTAGAGAATATTATAGGAGCCTTGTTTACGATCCATGATCAGATTGACTCTAAAAAGTGATAATTTTGTTATATATAACTCTATTTTGAAGTGTTACATGTGCTATCATAAATATCTCTATCCCATGAATTTAACTTAGGGATTTAACACTAAATATATGTTTTAGCCTTCGATCTTCCGATCTTTTTGTTTCTTTAGTGCAGTCTTTGATATTTTAAAAGTTTCAGTTTAGGTCCTAATATTTTAATATATTCGATGAACTTTAAAATTTTTTCTTCTTTGAATGACTAATTTACCCTTCAAAATCGAATCTCCAATCATGTTTATTCTACTAATAAAATCTCTATCCCCAAAATGTTTAAAGTATGCCTAAACTAACCTCCAATGATGAGAAACACAAACACGAGAAGACACTACAAATAATGCCCGTACCGCAGTGATGTGAC